TCGGTAGGGCATATTGCTAGTCATACCTTTAATTTATTTGAGGCCAAATCCTTGGTTGAGAAAATCACCTCTATTATGATCCATCCTACTGGAAAATCTTATAACACTTTTGGGAAAAAAATGAAAGGGAAGTAGGGAATAATTATATCAAAAATTATAAATTTGATAGGAGAAAAATCACGTTATTCTTAAAGTCAATATTTCCTTACCCAATTTTCATTCATTCCTTTGATTCTCACATGACCACTATTATTTTTTTAAAATATACCAAAAAGGAAAAACAAGATATGATACCACGCTATGTATTTTCCTCTTTTGGATAAAGGAAGTCTTCGATATATTTCCTTCAGTGATAAAATAAATGTTTTTCCCCTTTCATTTCCACGCAAAACTCCAAACTGATTCCATATAGCCAAATCCATTTGCTTAATGTCCACTGTCTCCATGCTTAAAAGCAAGCATTGTAAGACCGAGGATTGGCTTTCTACTCTGGTTTAAAGTCCATTAATAAGATAATGGCCTTTTCTAGGTAACTAAAATAGGAGCTGAGCTGGAGCACTGATTTAAAGAAAAGAACTTGTTACTCAAAATGTAATAGAATAATAAATATAAACTTCATTATGCTGAGCAATTGCTCACTTCCTTTCAATGAATCAAAAATTTTAGCACACACATACCTGTGGAACCATGGCAACTCTCTGGTTTCTTTTTGGTGACCTCGTATTTATTTGTCTGTCATCTTCATCAGAAAAGAGTCGACTTCGTTTTGAATTTCTAAAAGGCTACAACAGAAATTTTTTTATTTTATGAAAAGCTGAACACTTTCCATTTTTGTTCCAAAACACAATTCTATACTTGGAAAATACAGCTAACTCTGGATTATCAGCAGTATGGAAGGACGAAGTATGGGTAACACAAAGCATACCAAGTCAAATATGAATAACCTCAGATTTAGAAAGTAGTAAGATACATATTTATGCAGTCTGTTTACAAATGAAACACCCAGCTGATGATTAAAACTAGAACCCTTTGTATACTAGCAGCCTTGAACGGTGAAGAGACAAAAATAAGTTCTGGAAATTCCAGTTCTCATTATGTGGTGCTTGGATTAATACCAGTTGGATGCATCACACGATATGTCTGTTGCATAGGGCTGGGCTGGGATGGAGTGACTACATCATGCTAGAGAGTAAATCTAAACGTAGATAATATTATACTAGATCTGCCGTCAAAAATTGTTAACCGAATTTCCATTTGTAAGTAAAAATACAAGATACCTATAGCAGATACTTAGTAAGTGCTTGTAGAACCAAGGTTTTTTTTAGGTACCCAAAGTACATCATACACTTAAGGGTCTGTAATATGAAAAATTTTACAGTTCATCCTAGGTTCAGAGGCTTTAATTAATAAAGGAAAAGAGAAACAATATCCCAATAGTGCCCACAATCTTTTTCAAATCCTTCTCCCAGCATTCCAGACAGAATTTCGTGCTTAGTTGGAAGGGAAGCAAGTGCAGAGGGCTAGCAATATACGGGCAACATCCAATTGGGTCAAGGCTAGAGGTATGGAAGCAAGTGCAGAGGGCTAGCAATATACGGGCAACATCCAATTGGGTCAAGGCTAGAGGTATGGAAGCAAGTGCAGAGGGCTAGCAATATACGGGCAACATCCAATTGGGTCAAGGCTAGAGGTATGGAAGCAAGTGCAGAGGGCTAGCAATATACGGGCAACATCCAATTGGGTCAAGGCTAGAGGTATGGAAGCAAGTGCAGAGGGCTAGCAATATACGGGCAACATCCAATTGGGTCAAGGCTAGAGGTATGGAAGCAAGTGCAGAGGGCTAGCAATATACGGGCAACATCCAATTGGGTCAAGGCTAGAGGTATGGAAGCAAGTGCAGAGGGCTAGCAATATACGGGCAACATCCAATTGGGTCAAGGCTAGAGGTATGGATCCTTGAAATTGAACCCACTGAGAGTCTCAATACTCTATGGCCTTGACAGGAAGTCCCTCTATCCTGCTCCCCTGCCCTGACCATGGTCAGAGAGGAAGAGAATGATTGTGATAGAACAGACAGAGTGTGGAAAGTCCTGCACTGTCACTGTGGCCAGCTGCCCTGGCTACTGTGACGGCTGCTGTCTATCCCAGCTCCAGGCTTGTTCCATGATGGACCCCTAAAACATCCTGGCTACCTAGCTAGGCAGGGGAGGAGCAGACACCCCCCAAATCATTAGTCATGCTAATTATATGCTTATCTCTACTTTCCACCTCTAAATGCACTTTCCCTTGACCTACACAAGATTTTAATTTCTTACCACTTATTTATATATCTTCTTGCAGGGATCAGAGCCACGTAAAATTTTTTACATTCTAATAAAAGTATGAATTGGGGTTTTTTTTTGTTTTTGCCTATTTAAAAAAACTACAGTTACTTAACAAATGCTTAATGATGATTAGGTTCTACAGGCTACAGATTATTTATCTAAATATGATCAAATATTGCTCAGTGACACCGAAAGACTCAAATGTTTGGAGTTGTGGAAAAATCTTGGAAAATTTTTACTATGCTGTAAGAACTTGTACATGACAATAATACAGATAATTTAGCTATCATATCCTAAATTGTAAAAAAAAAACAAAACAAAACTAATTCCTTACCATTTCCACAGCAGAGGCTGTATTCCTGCCTTTCCAAACAGGTGTTTTTTGTAAAGAACTGTACTTTTCATTCCATGTGTTAGATAAGCTTCCCTCTGCAATAAATAATTATTACTAATGAGACTTAAGTTTAGCTCAAAGAATTTCATACTATGAACATTGCCTTTTTAATGACAGCAATATACCTGAAATATTTACCAATATGGAGAAAATATACTGACCATACCAATTCTAGTTTATTACAAATTAAAAATCTCTTCTGTATTTTTTGGTCAAACTCTCTAAACAATGTGACAAGGTAATACATCTTGAAAGTACTAAATTTTCATATTAAAACGTGTGGCTTCTTTCTTTTAGGTTTTCAATAATTCCTCTATTCTAACCTGCCAAGAACTATTTCATACATATAATCTGGCTGAAAGCAGGGCAATGGAAAAAGCTCCTTTTAACCTTGAATTTAGGGCAAATTTCTCAATGTTTTCTGCTTCGATATGTGAAACCCTTGATATCCAAAAATGAACTGTGTGGCGTTTCTATTTTCCTTAATTCAAAGAAATGTCTTCAGAGTTCTATGCAACTAGAAAAAAATCCCATCAAGTAATTGATTAGATATATTATGAAAATAAGGGAGAGATTAATTTTTA